CCATTGTTGTGTGCAGAGAGGGAAAGGCAGAGATGTCCAACCCCACCTTCTTCACCCTGTTTGTCAAGTACGGGGTTTGGGATCCACATTTTGGGTTGCACAGAGAAACCATTAAATTTGCACCTTGTTTGCAAGGTAATCAGGATTGCTGAGATTTGTCAGCATGAGCTTTTGCTTGAATGACTGAGTGAAAAATGTTTATCTTATAATTCATAAAAAGGAATGAGAATCAAAATGCTGGTTCGCTTTTAGAGTGAAGAATTTCTGTACCTTTTTGTTCTCTTTATATGCACTTCAGTGGCTGCCAAATTAATTTTTTCTTCAACTTATTACATAACTAACATATAAGCAGAAGGTTCTTGTGAGCAGAATTCAATGCAAGTCATCTTTGTTCAGATTCAGAAATGTGTATTTTTCTGCTCCTGATTATTCCTCTTCCTTCTGAATTAGCCAAGGATTGTCATTTCATAAATCTGTTTTTTGGAAGGCATTTAAAAACCCATTTGTGTTCATCAAAATATTTTGTAGTGCACTGAAAAGTTGGACCTCTCTGAAAATTTGCCTTATTTAATAGTAGAATGACTTTCATGATTTAAACTTTCTTTCACTCCTGCACTTCCTGGCAAAGTGACAGTTCATGCTCTGTAATTTCCTATTACCTTATAAATGGAAACTTGCTTTTTTGGGGTTTTTTTGGTGGCCTCTCTCACCATCCTCTTTTCTCTCTTATGTATGCAAAGATTCCATGTCAGTAAGGCTCCACCTTGTGCCTTGATAATATGCTGCCAACGTCAGCTCCCCCTTCAATTTTGTTCTTCTCCTACATAAAAATCAAGCTGTTCATATCTGAAGCATTCCCATTCTATTCCCACCTATCTTCATGACCTGATTTTCCTTCCCCTTCAGGCTGCTCCAACTGCATTATTTTTCAGTTCCACCTCCTCTTTATTTCATGTGTCCCAACTTCTCAATTAAAACTCACTAGAAATCCCTTTGTCTCCTTCCCATCAGTGCTCAAATGCCCCCTGTTTGTTTGGAGCTGCTGAATTCCTGCTTTTCTCCTCATTTTAGGAAGTTTTTCACTTATTTGCCTTTATGCTTGAGCCCCCTGTAGTTTTCCACCTTATTTGCCTTTTTGTGAGCTGACAAATGAGTTTGGCTTCTGAGGTACTGCCATGCTTCAGGTGATCCAGAAGATTCCCTGATGGAGCACCGAATCCGTTGGAAAAGCTGCTCTGTGGTCCAAAATATGGATCAGGGGAGTATTGTCTAAAGGCAAACTTTAAAAATATGGTGCAAAAAAAGGCCCGTTAAAAAGCAACCCAAGACAACACCCCCCCCCCTCTTTCACTGTAAAACCAGGAAGATTAAAAACATTCATATTGAAGAACTCATATTGTAGGTATGGGTAAGAGTTCTTCAGCAGGATCCATTTCCTCAAACCACAGACGGCAAATGCCAACAAACCAAGTTGATTATTTTGTTCAAAAGGGTCTGATCAGAGAGAGGGACTTACTTGGGTGCTGCCTGACTTGGCTCTGAGCTGGTTCCTCAGAGTGTTTTGTTACAGCCTTTGCCCAGCTTGTCAGTGCTGCTCTGAGTACTGTGTCACCCCCTGAGTGTTCCCTGTGCTCCCTCGTGGGTATCCTGCACTACAGAGTGAGAGATGGGGAAGAAGATCTTGTGATTCTGTGCGTATGATTTTATTTTCCTGTGGGGTGTTTGCTTATACCAGCTACTGAGTGTGTAATTCTTCTGATTTGAACAGTGGATGCCTCAGTGTTTTGTTTGAACACCTCTCATCACAAAAAAATACAGACCAGCTGCAGGAGAAAATGGGAAATGAGAGCAAGTCTGGAGAGTGTGTCCTTTGAGGAAACAAGCAGAGTACTCTAGAAAAGAAGCAGTGAAGGCAAAGATCATCTTTTTGAAAAGTGAGATGTGCGAAAATTGTTTAGGAGGAAAAAGGCGATTGGCGTAAATTGCAGGTTAGAAAGAATTAGGCTGGAGCTGGGAAATACAGTCCAGAGAGTAAGAGTAATGAAGTCCTTGGAATGCACTGACAAAATTGTGTATATCCATAGACTGGCAATCTTCTCTTCAATTAAGAGTCACTCTTCTCTAGCAATTCTCCAAGTGCCTTTGAGAACCCTCACAGGGAACAGCAAGCCTGGAAGGCTTGCTGTTCCCTGTGAGGGTTCTCAAAGGCACTTTGTGTGTGCACACACTTACAACCCCCAGGGTTGCTCCCTGGAGACATCTCCCATCCTCCTCTTGCTCTGATGAGGCCCTGAGTGGGTTTTATTGCCCGCTTTCATTGCTCTGAGAGGTCAGAGCAAATACAGGAGGAGGGGAAAGGTACCCAGGACACTCAGAGGAAGGGATCTGTGGCATTCCCAACAATATAAAGGTGGATTGAATCGTGCTCTGGCTTATAGATGCTATGGAATGTGGAAAAAAAACTGTATTGAAGTACTCAGAGAAGAACATCTACACTTAATTATCCCTCCCATGGCATCTTTTTTCCCCCTTCATTTCATACCTAAGCGCTTTCACAGGTTAAAATATGCAAATACTCCTTAGAGTGGAAACAAAGTAGAGATTTCTGAAGCTGTTTATTCTGTCCCCTTTGCCCTGTTCTATTTTCAGTTTGACGTGAGCCTTTGCGAGGGAGCATATGGCATTTCTAATTAAGGCCTGTGATTTTCTGACATACAGCTGAATAATACATTGCAAACACTGCTAAGCCTTCCAGCTGAAAGTGTTTGCTGGCTGAAGCACCGCAGTGTGTGTGTGCTGTGGAAGGAACACTGATCTCCTGAAGGACTTCCAAGAATTTTGCCCCCCATTTACCAGCAAGGAGAGGAGTGAGGGGCTTTGCTGCTTTGGGCTGGTGTCAGTATTCCTGACTGGATCCAGTGACAGCTCCTGTGCTCTGTCCCTCAAAGGAGCAGTGCAGCTTCATTTTGAAACCTTCTGGCCTGCTGCGGGGAACTTGAGTCATCATTATCAGGTTTTGTTCCAGACTGCAGGGTTGGTTGGTGTTACTGTCACCAGTAACTCCTGGGAAGGTGTGCTGTAGTTTTGCAGCCTCTCCAAGGAAATTCCAATCTCTCCTTTCAGAGTTTTGTGCCAAATTGTTTACCCTCTCCCTTGAACGTGTGAAACTTTTCTGAGGTTGTGGTTTATGGTGAATTCCTGGTGTGAGCCAGGTTTCTTGGGATTCCTTATGTGCATCAGTACCTTGTATCTCTGAATGGCAAATGTGTTCAATCCAGAGGAGGTTTCTTCACTTCCACGTGCAGTAGAAGGGCTGCATTTATCTCTTGGATCCAGTTAGGCAAATCAGGAGAGGAGGGAATGAAGAAAATATAATGAATTTAATTGCTTTAACTTAAGGGTGGTTTAAATTATTACCAGTCCTGGGTGGTGAAGAGATTTGTCTTTACACTATGTTTTGGTAATTTTAACATTAAAGGAAAGTTGAGTTTTTAAATATGTTTCTTCCCCTGGAACTCAGTTGATTCCTTTGGCCACTTTTATAGTGAGACCAAATTTTATTAAAATGATAAATGTAGATCTTCATATTTCCATCTTTAGGTCTAGTTGAATGCATGCAAAAGATTGGGAAACCTTAAAATCAAGTTTTCTGTAGATATGGGTGGTTATTTTGTTGGGGTTATTTTTAATTCTAATTGGGAAGTAGCTAAATGGAGGTTGGTCTTGTACTTTGGGTTCTGTGAAGCTGTACAAGCAAGTTCCAGGCTAAAGGCTTTCACTACTGTAATACTCATTTTAAAATACAGAGGTTTCTGCTGCAGCTAGCTCTCTTTGGGCAAGGTTTTTGCTGCTAATTGTCCTTGAAAGGCAGTGTGTGCTTTGTCCTCACAGACTCGAGCACTGATGATCTTTTATTAATGACTTGTATTTGACAATTGCTCAGAACATAAATTAGAAACGTGTCAGTGGGGTGAGAATGACAAGGCTGAAGAGTTAAAAGGATTAATTGCCCGAGGACTGAAGATCTTCCTCCACCTGAACTATTCCTGTTGCTTGCACGAAGGTGGAGGTGAAGTGTTTCATGAGGAATGCAACCTGGGTGTGACTGAGCTGTGTTGAGGAGAGTGGTTCATGTTTGGTGGTGTGGAAATTGCACTCGTGTAACTTTTAGCAGTATTTTAGTCAGGTAAAACTGGACAAAATCCAAGTAACTGCAAGACCACGTTCATGTGAGTTGCTGCCCTGTAGGGTTAGACTGTCCAGCTGACTGTGGGCAGCTGACAGGCCCACAGGACACAGGGAAATGGGAAGGGTTCTTGGACTGGGTGGTTATTTGAGCACACTGTCCCAGGCTCACATTATCCCTTCTGGGTTTAGTCATGTAATAGCCTATATCCCTCCCTAAGCGTTCCATTCTTAATAATTATGAGCTTTCATTTTAAACATTCTCTTCTGTTCCATGCACCACAACCTCTAATGTCACACTGTTATTCTTTCTGCCCGCTCAGGAACTTATTTCAGTTAAAAAAAAAATTATTTGGGGGCTCTAAAGGGGCTTCCTGAGCTCAGGAACCACAGGAGAGCCAAAGGGATGTGGTGCAACCAAGCAGCATTATCTGCTATGCTTTAGAGGAGACTTCCCTTCGTGGGAGGTCTGGAGTGGATGTGACTCTCAGATAACACTACATTGTGAAATGCCATTAAATGGAGAGGTGGCAGCCTGGAATCTTTCCTTGCATAATGCCTTTTCAGGTCCCAGCTCTTTCTCCTGTAGCAGTGCTATAAGTTATTCCCTAGTCCTGTTCTTCTAAATTTATTTTGTAAAGTCTGTTAAACCTTCTTTATGGTTCCACTAATAATTTTGTTGTCTTTTTGGGATTTAAAACTGATATATGGAAAAAAAAGTTGTCTGAGACCTATGTGTATAGATCTTTAGTGTCTGTGCTTTTGATAAATGTGTGCATGCCTTTATTTTCATGGGGTTTTTTTTGTTTGGTTTTTTTTTGCAGAGAGCGATAATGAACTCTCCAGTGGCACTGGTGATGTGTCCAAGGATTGCCCTGAGAAGATCTTGTATTCCTGGGGAGAGTTGCTGGGGAGATGGTAATGCTTAATTCCTTACAGTTAGATTTTAGACATTAACCTTTTCTTTGTTTCATCAGTCTGTGTGCAGGAGGGGTGAAATTCTTCAGCTTACACAGTTTGAAATACAAACCACGCAGAGGTGTGTGTTTTAAACCGAGCTTAAATGCTATGGATAACTTGCAGTTCTTTGCCAGGTCTCTCTCCCAGCACCTGCCAGAGCCTGGTTTAGTTGGGTGTGTGTGTCTGTGTGTGCTCACACGGGTGTGGCACTTCACGGGCACGGCTTGGTGGTCACTGTCCCTGGGGCTGGGAGTGAAAGCCTCATGAACTCAGAGCCGGGAGGGGACGGGCAGAGCAGTCAGTGTGTCCTGTCTGCGCCGTTTGTGCCAGCTGGTGAGCGTGGAATTTGTTTAGGTGCAGTTTCTGCTTATTTATTTTTGTTAACATGCTGTATGTAAGCATTTGAAAAGGAATTGTAGAAAGCCTGTGAATCCTCGCTGATGAAACTGCTTCTGTTGGTGAGTCAAACGAAGAGTGTCTGTGAGCCCAGAGTCTGTTCTCAGCAGTGTTATTTCTGTGGATTAATTAAGTGCTTCAGTAGCGGCAGACACTGTGCCAAGAGAGGAACAAGTCTGTGTGTTTGCTGCCTCTGAGAGACCCTGGACTATTAGCAAGTGCCAGAACCACTTGCTTGGCTTTCCCTTTGTAAGTTAGTAATAGCTCCTGCTGCCGGAGACAAAAATAATCAGAGCCCCTTAATCAGGAATTGGCAGTTTCCTTTTCCTAACTCCAAATGGGGAGCTGAAAAATGCTTTAAGGATTTATTTGGGCAAATTTTCCCCTTACTTGGCCACTTTGTAGCTTTGGAGCAACACAGCTCCTTGCTACTGACTCCTCCTGGAATGGAGATCCCGTGCAAAGGTTTCTGGATGAGAAACATCATCTGTAAAAATCCAGAGTTGGGCTCTGGAGCTGTTTACACCTTTCCAAAACCTGTTCTGAGGGACATCCCCAAGGCATTTCCACTGGAAGATGCTACCTGTAGTTTTATTCCTTTTGTTAACTCGTTTGGCAGTGGATTGTTTTGGTTTTACCCTTTGCCCCTGAGAAGTCCCTGGGCTCCTGTGGCTGAAGTGAAGGAACACCCACAGCTCATCCTCTGAAGTTTCACATCACCAGCGATTCCCTCTGGTTACTCAAATATTCCACTGAGTGAGACAAAACATTCAGTACTTGGAGTGAACTGGAGCTCCTAACACGTAGTTAGGATGTGTAGACACATTCATTTAGTACTTGCAACACCTTAGTTAAAACGACTTGAAAAAGGGGTGAGAAATGGGGCGTCCCAGCCAGCTTGGAAAACAGCAGTAGCAAACTCTTTTTTAGTAGTGTCTCAAGCAGTTTCACCTCCTGAGAGAAATACAAGTCTGTAAACTACTTGAGTTCTTCAACAGCCTTATGTTACATTTTGAGAACAAAGCTAAGAAAGAGTAACAGATGAAAAATGGGAACTATTTGAAAACTAAAAATAGATCGAAGTCACATCTCCTAGTGTGTTGAAAACTGCAGCATATGTTAGTGGAAGATCTGTGCACTTGTAAAAAAAGTAAATAAACAAAAATTAACATTTGCTCTTGGGGAACTGTTGTATTTGTCTCTTAGGTGAAAAATTTCTTGCGTTTTAATTACTTTCTTGTCATTTTCTTAAAATGTCACTGTAACCTATTGGACTCAGAAGCAGCATTGCTCCAAGAGCCTCCTTCAAGCACATAAACAGGAACAAAAATAAGATCACTTACAAAAAAAAAATAGAATTAGCAGTTGGAAAGTAATGGTGTGTCTATTTTATTTTATTGTGTCTTTGAGTCCTGTGCAGGAGAATTGCAGCACTTTAAAGATGTTACCACCCATTTTCCCCACGTGCTGATGGATAAGGGCAGAATTAGACAGGCTTTTATTTTATGGCCATTTCTGCTCTGAGCGAGGCCTGGGGATGCTCAGGCAGTTTCCCAGGGAGCCCTTCAGAACCCAGGAATTTGGCTGGGGAAGTTGAGAGTTCTCCTGTGTGGCAGGGACTCGTGCTGCTAAAGTATTACCTCTGCCACAGGACTGAATACAGGACAGAGCCAGGCAGCTCTGCTTTCTTAATTCTCTGCTGGGAATGTGGTTGGGGTGGTGTTCCAGCAAGGAATGTGCATCTCTCTTCCCTGTTGTCATAAGACATTTATATTGTTTCTTTGGTGCTGCTGAAAATGTCCCTGGTTTGTTCCTGTGGGAATGTCCCCTTTTTAGCTGTTCATTTTATTTTGTCAGCTTGCCCACTCCTCAGAGGAGCCCTTCTGTGTTTCTCACCCGACATACCACCAGATCCAAGTAACAAACAAACTAATCCACAACTTGAGCTTTAACTTTCTGAGGTGTTATTTGTTTATATCTGAATGTGCATTTCCTAATTCTGTAACTGCTTAGGGTGCCTCATCATAGAATCACAGAATGACAGAGTGTTTTGGGCTGGAAGAAACCTTTAAACAAGACCATTAAGCTCATGTGACTGCCTGCAAAATGGGCTGAAAAAGGGAAAAGAGACTACATGGGTTTTAATTTGGCTGAGTGATCGAGTTTGAAATTACTCGTGTTGCATTATGCATTTAAAAATAACTGTTGTGTTTAAAAGAATGAGGTTATATAATTATACTCTTTAATTCTCAGGTTACTTGGAAAAATGGGAATATCACTGTCAAAGTGTAGGAAAAAAATTTGTTTAGAACACCTTTGAAATTTAAACAGCAGTGGTAAACTGTTCAGGTCTTAATGAGCTGTTTCATAGAATGAGCACTCTAAACATTTACTGAAAATCCAGGGTCAAATTGCAGGTTATTTAATTAATCACAGCTTGCTGGCATTTGGCTGAACAGCCACTCTCACTATTCTCCTACCAGGAGAGCTGGAAAACACAACAATGGTCAAAACACTGAGAGAGCAAAGCACTTCCTGCAGCAGAAAGAGCCAGGGAATCAACTGGGGCAGTTTTGCTGCTGGAAATTGCCATCCTGAGTGCCAGGGAGCTCCAACCCACATCAGCAAACACTCCTGTCTCAAAAATGGGTGTTCAACCTCTGTGACTGAAAGCTGTGCAATATTGGGCATGTGCAGTGAGCTTTGTGTTTCTTGCTGTGTGTGTGTGCAACCACAGACAAATGCATCTGGAATACTAAAGTTTACCAAGTGCAGGTGTTACTGCTTTGTGGGACCTGCAATATGCTCTTGGCATGAAGTGTGGAACTGGAACTTCGTGGTAGTGCTCTTAAAAGTGGCTTCTAATTGCCAAAATTTCTCTGTATGGCTGATGTTGTTTTTAATTTCTTTTCTTTAACCTAAGCTAAAACGTGTATATTGAACAAATATTTGAATTGAATGGTCTGCACAGATGGCATAGCTTCCTCTTTCAACTCATATTGTTCTTTGTTAGTCAGTTCTGCAGTTGCCTGTTGTTAATTTCCATGAATTTCCCTACACCTAAAGAATTCAGATATCACTACGTTTTGCCACTGGTTCTTACTGTCAATCCCTGCAGAACTCTTGCTTTCCATCTGACAAATACTAATTGCTGTAACCACTGGAAGGAAGGTTTGTGTTGCCAGTTGCTGACTCTGCTTTGCAGAGTTAACGGTGCCAAGTGTGAAACGTTCACATGTTTTCAATCCTTATTTCAACTCCTGCAGTTGCAGTTTAACAGACAGACGTTCATCTGCGTTTCAGGCACAACAACCTGCTGGTGAGGCCCAACGGGTTGTCCACCCTGGTGAAGAGTGGGGTTCCAGAGGCGCTGAGGGCGGAGATCTGGCAGCTGCTGGCAGGATGCCATGACAACCAGGCCATGCTGGACAGATACAGATTGCTCATCACAATGGTAAGTGGTTTATTATTGTTTTTATTTTTATTTTTTTACTTCTGTTGTTCTATTTTCTCTCCTTTGGTTCAGCTGGATTCTGCTGGGCAGCAGTTTTTATTCGGTGGTGGAGCAGCAGGAGGGCGAAACAGTTGGACTTGTTTTAAGCAACTGAAATTGTGATGAGGTGACTTTACCTCCTGCCAAGGGTACCTGCTGAATGGCATTAACAATAGAAATTGCTGACCTATATCTGTAGTAATGCTTGACATTTAGCTTTCTGTTCTCTTGCTGTGATGATAATAAGAACATCAGCTTGTTGTTCAGGTGTCTGCTTGTGGCTTTTTTATAAGCTCCCATCCATCACTTTGGTTTTTCAACAGTTTGCTCTCTGTAGGCCTTTAATTTTTGGGGTTTAAATAAATAAAAAACAAAACAAAGGAAGCCAAACAAAACCTCACAAAGTTAGGTATTTCTTGGTTTGTTGTATATTTTAAAAAGGAACGTTAAAAACATGTTTACTAGCAGGAAACCAGTCCCCTTGCCAAGGGGGTGATTTGAGAGGAGAATCCTTTCGGGGATCTGTTGCTGTTCTGTGTCCTGATGTCAGCAGTGCAGTGACAGTAAACACTGTGAGAAGGTGCCTGCAGAGCTGTTTGATCTGCTCAGAGCGGGGATGGCAGGAGGGAGAACCCCTGTGCTCAGGAGGTGGGCTGGGCTCTGGGGGCTCTGCAGCTCAGCCCCTGCAGGGCAGCTGTGCCTCTGGGAAGGGCATCGCTCTCAGAAGTGCTCAGAGTGGCACAAAGGGCTGGGGATCACTGTAATGTTGCTCAGAGAGTGATTATCTACGTTATTAATTTTGTGTCCACACAGAAACTCCGAGGTAGGTGTTGTGAGTAAAACCTGCCTCTCTAATGTTGTGTCTTTTTGCTGCCTGTCCTCTTCGTTTGACCCACCCACTCTGGGAAGTTTAGAAGTGTCCCCAGACTGAGAGTTGTCCTGCTGGCTTCTTTTCCTTTTCCCAGCAAGGAGAGATGTTTTGATAGAGTAAATTTTTCATTTTGACGTTGTAGCTGGGCTATATTTTCCTTAGAAACCATTCACAGGACATCTGTCAGCTGTATGTTGCATCAAAGCCACCTCCATTATTTTGCTCCTGCTTTCCAAAAGTGGGGAAGATGTTTGTTTCACGGCGGAGGAGGGAGTGGAAAACTTCTAAAATGCAAGGTTTATCTTGATGCTGGGGCCTCATGCCTTCAGCATACCTTGGTACAGTTGACCTTTCCACTACAGAAATCTTGCAGTGACATGTATTTTGGAAGGTATTTTGTGCAGGATTTAATACGAAATACGATACTGTTACAGACTGGAAATTTAAATCCTATTCTGAACAGCAGCATTTATGCAAGCAAGTTTGGTTTTTTTTTTTCTGAAGTAAATCACTTTTCTCCTGAAATCACCAAATCTCTTCTATAGTCTGACTGTCTCAACTGCTGGTGATCCTATCCTTTGGCAGGAGAGGATTCGTGGAAAGGAAGGAACAGGAGAGAGCCTGTGCCAAAGCAAAGCTAGGACCCATCTTTGGGAAGAGTTAATGTGGGGTGCTCCAGAAAAAAATGGCCAGTTAATTTTTTATAATGAATTAGTACCTGATATTTGGGCTGTGAGCAGAACTCCTCAGTTTCAGGAGTGCTTTGTTCAGTGTGTTTCTGTAGGAGAGAGTAATCTGGGGCCTTTTTTAGAGTTTCAGTTCAGCACAGAAAGCAAAATAAAATGTCTAATTTCGAAAAATCAATGCTGCACTCATTTTCTCCGGAGGCCTCCAGGTCCTCTAGTCCTGCTCACTGGAGGTCCCTGCTCTGTCAGGAGTGATGCAGTGGGCTGGGTTTCCTTTCCCATCTCAGAGCATTTGCAGACACAGCTGATGTATTTCCCATCTCTGGGCGAGTCTGGAGTTCCAGGAGGGAAGGGGAAAAGAGGTACTTGTGCTCTCCCCACCACTGTTGTGCTGACAGGCACTGCCTTGCACTGTATTTGGTCTCCTGCTGAATTCCAGCTCCGTGATGACCGGGAGCCACTCAGGGATTTTGACTGGAGCACAACAGTAGGCCCTGCATGCAATCTGAGAGAGTGGGAGTTGTGATTTGGCAGCTGCCTCATTTCTGACATGTGTGTAAATGTGTTGTGTGTGACAATCCCAGTGTGCTCCAGTGTCCTCCCTGGCAGGTGTGCCACGGGCCCCTCACCCCCTGCGCGTGGCATGGGATGGGGGGGAGCAGAGAGTGCACAGCAGGAGGGAGAAATGTGTGGTTTGTCGGTTTATTTAAGGGAAAAGAAAAGCAGAGTGAGAAAGATCTGCTTATGGTAACCTGGGGTAGTACTGGTAGGGTTCTGAAATGCATCATCTCTTCATGGAAGGCTTTCAGTTTGTAACCTGATTTCCATCAGGGAATGAACTGTGTGTGTACAGTTCATCTAACACTATGTGTGGGCTAGTGTGCAATGCTACTGCTCTGGTTTAAGGAAACAAAGCTTGTTTTAAATTTACCCTTATTTTCTAAAGTAGCATCAGAAGCTAATCCTGCTGTCAGGTGAGTGTTGGTAGTACTGTATTGCTCCAAAGCAGTGGAGGTTTGGACAGGGATGTGAGTGCCCGTTTTTGAGCTGGGTGGTGACATTGAGTCGAAGGTCTTCAAGAAACACTCAATGGCTGTCCTTCCAAATGAGTTGTAAGAGAACCAAAAATAAGATTATTTGTTTGCTGTCATAATTTCCTTTGGCAATATGAGCATGTGCCCAGAACAGTTAGAGATAATAACTAATTAAAGGGTCAGGCTTCAGAAGAGTTGGCCAAAAAATAACTTGGTCTGCTGACTGTGTAATGGTGTTTTGTGTCTGGGCCAATAATGTTTCAAGCCACTCCACAGAAGAGTGAAAATCCTAAGAATTCTTCCAAGGTCTGAAGTAATTATGAGAGTCATTGATTTGGGGATTAAATATTGCCATATCATGAAAATAATTGATCTCGGTAATACAGTAATTTGAAAATGGCTCTGATGAGGGGTGTCACTACTCCAGGGGTCTGATTCTCACCCAGTAGGGACCAGTTACAGGCAAGGATGTTCCACTGCTGCAGAAGATGGAGCAAATGGGTTGGGTTTGGGGCTGCATGAAATGAAATGAGTCTAGAGCTGATAGTTTGGACCAGCATTATTGTTTCTGACTCCTACGAGACAAACACTCTCATTATATAAACCAAGAAGAAAAAATAAACCCAAAAATTAAAGATTTCAGGTTTCTGGAATTGTCTCTTGTCCTAAATTAGAGGTTAGAGATGGGATAGCTGAAAATAGCAAATATTGTTGTAGAAGTTTTATCATGTCCTTAAGCACAATCTTCCATGCCTTGAATTAACTCCTTTATCTGTTTGTTGATACATCCCTCTGCAAACTGAGCTCAGAGGCCTGAAGGAAAGATCAGCTTTCATGTCAACCCACTGCAGAAATGCGGTCACTTTTTAAACTTTGAAATTATCCAAACAGTTAAAACGAGCAAAGGTGTTTCCTTTGTTGTTTCATATTGACTTGGCTCTTTCATTTTTATTGCCAGTTTGCTTGCACAGTTAAGAGATGGAGAGTGCAGGAGACTCCAAACGAGCCACTGTTTCTCTACAAAGCAGATTAAACGCGGTTGACTTTGACACCGGGGCCTTGGTGCCCTCTTTGTGTGGTTTTGTTTGTTTGTTTGTTTAATTCATTTTATCTGTGTGGGGCATTTGGGCTGAGACAGTTTAGCTGTGGATTGAGACGATTCCCTGCACAGGAAGGGCTGTTTGCATTTGAGTAGGGAATGAGTCGAGCCTGTTAACTTGCAGCAAGACTAAAGGATGGGAAGTTTGCACAAGGAAAAGGAGGTGTTTTTTTGTTTTTTTTTTTTGTCCCAGTGGCATCGTGCAGGATTCCACTGCTCAGTGTTCTGAGACTAATTAATCAGTAAGGGTGTCTAATTAAAAAGATGACTGTTCACCAGCTGCCACAGCAGGTTGGTTAATGGACTGAAACATTAGAGTATTTTTGTAGCAAATATTTGTGCTCAAAATGCTGCATCTGTTTGTCCTGACTGAAAATGGGTGAGTTTGGGCTTCTGCACAGCCAGGAGCACTTTTTTTTTTCTTAGCAACATTATTAGTTCTCTTTACTAATTAGGAATGGTCTCCCCTGACTTTTAGGGAGAATAGATATCAAGGATGGCATAGCTGTATGCTTGGCAATTATTAAAGATCCTGTTACATAAGGCTCCATGATCGTTAGAATTAAAACGTGATTTTTTTCAGTTGACTAAAAAGAGAACTAATACCTGTTATATTGCTTTTTTTGAATGAGATGCTTGGATATTAATCAAAGAAATTGTGGAGGAGCTGATCCCTTAGAGATGTACATGCAGCTTTCCCAGTTCCTGTTTCTTTTCAATTCGGTATCTACAGGCAGTTTTTAGGTTTTACTTCTCCCCACCTTCTCTAAAAGGGTAGGGATAGAATGACTGTTCCTTAACCCTTCTCTTAAACTGAGATCATTCATTTCCTGGCAAGTAGATTCCTGATATTTTTATAATTTAATGTGTTTCACAGAGAAAAATCAGTTCCTGTGTTGGTTGGAGTGATAGGAAGGCTCATTTTTGGTGTAAGCTGAGCTGTTAGTGCTGACAGTTACAGTCACCTACTTGTTTGAATTATTTTAGTGGTGCTGCAACACTGTGGGACAATGAAGTATATATGAACTGAAAATACTTAATAGAAATCAATGAAAAATTATTGTCTCTGAAGAGCAGAAGTTGACAGAATTTTAATTCTTTTAAATGGCTTAATTTAAATTCAGACTTCGGATAAAAAGGTTTAGTTTATGATGAATGTACCAGGGTACCTGGTTTCATAGTAAATGTTAATATTACTCTTACAAACCCAGGAATAAAATGTCCCTACGGTGAATTTAATTTGCCAAGTTTTGATTCATCTAGAGCTCATC